CCACGCAGGGAACAAGGTAAATACCTGTGGCCCGGCTGAGTCAGCCGGTGCGAGGCTGCTCCTGCGAGGCCCTGTCACCACCTGCGCTTGCGGGAAGCGGCGGACGGACGCTCCCTTTTGAAAAGCCTGACGAGCTTTCCCTGTCTCTGCTGTGGCATTTGCTGATTAGAAAAAAGGACTAAAACCAAGTGGGATGTTTCCTACAGGGTGGGGAGAACAAAGCGTAAAAAGCACACGACGTTCCCTGCTGGAAAGGCCTGAAGACGCCGCGGATGAGCAGTGGGCGGCTTTATTTTTAAAATGAGATGCCACCGCTGACAGCCTCTTCTCAGCACGCTGTGCGCCGGCCTCTCCCGGCTTCAGCTCACGTTTTCCGCCCTTATTTGCCCTAATTTCCTTACCCCTTAAAAACTGGACATCCTGGATATTTTTGCAAGAAGTCAGGAATCCTGTTTGCAACAATTTGCAAATGAAGTCAAAATGCCCGATTCAAAGCATTAATGATGACTTTCTAAATTGGCTGTGACAGGCTCTTTTAGATGCGTCTGCTCGAAACTCTCAAACAGAATTCCCCAACTGCATACAAAATTAAATATTCCAGATGTCTGAGCACCAGCTCTAAACAGCTGCCCCAGAAGATATGTGGACACGTTATCTGCATGTCTAATCACAGTTCCAGGCTTCCCTGTCCGGCTCCATTAGCTTCTTGGTGCTATAGACCCAAACCCAGAAACCAGATCACCTCAGGATGACGAGCAAGTCAGCATCGTGGTCTTTTCTCATGGACAAGACTCTGATTAACAGGTCACCGTCAGTGAAATAGAAACACCTTTTGAAAGGCTTTTCACCTGAGCGCCCTTTTGATATTTAAGTCTGATTTGGTTCCACCACAAACACATTTTAATTTATTCTGATGTGGTCACCTAAGCCACCAGACGTTACCCTACAGCCACACAAAACTCCTTCTGTGGGTTCTCCGGGGTCTGCTCAGATTCACTTTGATTTATGGAGGCATCAGACGGGCCAAGGGCATGTGCCTTCTCTGACACAAGAGGAGGCCGCCAGCTCCATCTGCTTCTGGCGGCGTTAGCTCCCATGTAACGAGGAAGTTAGCAGTAGCCTAACGCGGCCTGAGCGTGATGACCGGATGGGGCTTTACATGTCCCGGTGTCAGATGCGTCTTTACCTGCCGTTATTTCTAAAAGCCGGAAGACGCTCCTCCCGCTACTTCCCATCATGAAGAAACAGCCCAACATTGCACCATCTGTTCCCGGACAGCCGTCCCGTGTGCTGTGACGTGGGAAGTGGGCTCAGCACAGCTGGCCCGCAGCGGAGGACACCTTCCTCGGCCCTTGGGCACTGACACCTGCAAGCGCACAGCCCCTAGTCCATCAGGACAGTCACTGCAAAGGTGCCAGCGTTTCTCGCATCCTGGAGGGGAGCGAGGGCCATGACTCAGTGTCCATCTCTCTGGAGGTGGAACTCACCTGGCTCCAGCCGGAGTTTCGGCATCACAGTCTGGGCACAGAGGGCTGGATGCGACGGCTGGTGGTGGCCTGAGACTGTCCCCTGTGCCAGCACGCGGCCCCTCCAGGGTCCCTGAGGGGACGGGAAGTCCCCGGGTCAGGAGACCCTAAGCTGAATTGACCCAAGCTTCGAAGTACAAACCCTGGGCGCTCTCAACGAAAACAGTTCAGGTCAACCTCATTGATACTCGATTTTTAAAATAGTTTACTCTGTGGCGCGTACACGGTGCCCCGTCTCCCAGTCAAAGTCTTATGAAATAGAGGCTCAAAAACACAAGCTCACCTAAGCCTCACCTGCAGCTCTATGTATGTGATTCCTGTGTGGGGCACAGTAGCCACATCTGTTTTTAATCTAATCCACCCAGCTCTTATCTGTCCTTACACCAAACAAGAAACACAGAGCAGGCCACGTCTGTGTTCCAAAGCCACTGCAAACTTTTCCAAACTCAATCAAGGTTTTTAAGGTAAAATGTTCTGTCAGTAACTATAACCTATACAGTTTGGAAAAATGAATCAGAAAATGGAAATCATCTTGTTTCCGGACCTCCCGGGTGGTGCAGGGGTTAAATCTCAGCGCGATGAAGCTATAGCAGCCGCTGTGGCCGAGCGTGACCCCGGCCAGAGCGGGACCCACCTGGCCCGGCAGGTCTCCTGTCTCCCCGCTGCTCCCCTCAGCAGTGGGCTTCAGTGGACCGCCTGTTCTGCCCCCCGCTCTGTCTCTGGGGAAGCCTCACCCCCCGCATCTCTGGCCTGTGCCCCAGTTCTGTATGGATAAATAAATAAATCCTAAAAAAAAAAAAAAGAACAACAAGCCCCACACAACTGCTTGGCGTTCCCCGCGGAGCGATGGGCGCGGACTCACTTTATCCTCCGCGGCTCTGTCCTCATCTTTCCCAGTCAGACCTTCTGTGGGAGCCAGCGACGCGCGCGCGAGCGGCTCGGTCCTCCACCAGGGGGCGAGCGCCGCCTCGCGCTGGGCTCAGGCCGCCGGCAGGCGCGGGGAGCCGCAGGCTGACGCGAGGCCGCAAAGGTGGCGGCTGGGTGTGAGGTGTGTGGGCTGCACGACCCTCTCACTCGCGGACCTGTGGCAGCGAAAGCCGGTTCCCCACACACGCTCGTGAGGGTGGGCTCGGTCATGCTGAGGCTACTCGCGAGCGCCAAGTAACCCGGGACGCGCCGCGCCGCGCCCGGCGCTGGGCTCTGTCCCCACCGCGCGGGATCCAGGGGCGCCAGCATCATGCAGCACAAACAGGGGGCCGGTTGCAGGACGCCGGCCCCTCAGCTGGACAGTCCAGTCCTCCTGGGTCTCCCTCGCACCGCACGTGGGCCTGCCCTGTGCGGGCACTACGAGGACCACCACCCTGTGCCCACAGGGGAGGAGAGCCGGCTCTGGGTGGAGGCTAGTGATGTCCACCTCGCCACATTCTCCTTCCTCAGCAGCAGCAGGACACCTTCAGCTGCTGTCCCTGCAAAGATCTCTAAGGGCCGACTTGCAGCCAAAGGTGAATTAAAATGAGGTGCACAACTGGTGGGGTCTGTCCCAGGGGAAGTGTGCCGCCTCCTCCTTCAGCCTCCTGCTGGCCAGTATGGAGACAGAGGCTGGGCTCGAGGCTCTCCAGACTGGACATGACCTGGGAATGGGAGCAGAGCGTGAAGCCTTCTGGAAGGAGCCTCGGTCCCTGCGCCGTGGACAGCCCCACTCACCACCCAGATGGAGTTCTAGATGTGAGGAATAATCGTGTGTTTTTTAGTCAGTTACTTGGGGTTTTTTGTGACTTGCAGCTGAACTGATTCCTCACTAACAAGGTGCTAAATGCAGAGGGTTTCGGCTCTTTCCGGTAGTAACTGGCACACAGCCGTCTGGGACAGGTCTAAGTATCTCCATTAGCAAAGCTAGGTGGAGTCACAGCTTTAGATGGGATGGAGGGGCTGGGGAGTGCACACCCATACGCACGCACCCACCCCACACTCACACCCACCCACCACACCCACATACACCCCCGCACCCACACACCTATACCACACACGGCCCCACACTCCACACACACGACATACACCCACCCGACACCCCCCCACACCCACACACACGACATATATACACCCACCCCAGACACCCCACACACACACCCACACGCCCACACACCTGCCTCTGGACCTGGCATGACTCGTTTCTCAACACCAACACGAGTGGCATCTGGGCAGGCGATGATGCTGTGGGCACTGTGCCACACGGTGCCCTGGCTCCCCGCCCTCCCCACCTCCATGGGCCAGCAGTGCGTGACGATCCCCACACCTGGCCATTTCTGCAGAGGTGCCCTAGGAATGAAGTTGCCACAGCCGAGGACCACCCACACCAACAGGCAGGGGGTCATGTATTTCCACAGCGGAAAATGGGTTCCAGAGCAAAGAAACCCCAATGGGACAGTGTCCCATTCTTTTTTTCCAACACCCTCAGAGAACCGCTGTCTCCCTGTGGACAGGTGACGGGGAGGCAGCAGAGAGGAGCGTCACCCTGATCGCAACCGGAAGCCAGCACAGCTGAAAAGCCTCCCTTTGTTTCTGCCTGGCTCTGCTCCTCTCCACCGTCTTCGGCCGCGGCCCACCTGACGCCTGAGTGCTGACAGCAGCCAGCCGGCCTGCACTCAGAACCGCCAGCCAGCCTGGCGGGTCAGCAGCGAGGCCAGGCTGGGTGGGCCCAGGGCGTGCCAGGCAGTGGCAAGCGGGGGAGCTGAACTGGCTCATGGGAGGATGCGGCCTTCCGCCTGCAGTTGTCTGACGGGCAGTTACAGTGGGCACGGCGGTGCTTGGACTCGTTCTGACCACGTGGCCTTCAGCACCTGCACGGTCGCCGGGGCTCTGGTGGGAAGATCCGGATGCCAGCGTCTGTGACGTGCCAGAGACCTCATCTCACTTCCGCGCCCCTCAGAAGCTGAGTCTCTGCAGGCAGCTCGCCCTTTGTTGGAAGTTAGGGCACCACCTTCTCCCCTTCCCCCCAGCGCCATCCCCCAAGAAAGGCTTGCCCTTGTTTCCCCTAACTGCAGGTGTCCACAGGCCTCTCCTGCTCGCCCCCCCCTCCCCCGCATGAGATGGACTCACCCAGCTCTGGGTTGTCGTCGCTAGCAGTCACCTGCAAAGCTTGTCTGCAGCCCAGCCCTGCCCATGAGGACCGGGGCCAGGCTGTCCATCCACAGGAGGGGCGTGGCCCAGGGACCGGGGATGGCCGGTGCTCAGGGAGGGCCAGACTAGCGAGTGCCCTGGGCTCAGTGGTATCTGAGCCTGAAATGTATTTCAGATTACAGATTTTGATTCCTATTTTAAATCTTTTCATACACGGCTTTCACTTCAAGTTGTCTGAAATTCTCTGAAAGCAAGATAGGTTTGAAACGAAAATCTGAGGCTACGAGAACCCTCTCTGATAAACCGCACAAGCGCTCTGGCCAGCCTAACCGCGACTCACCGACACGTGCAGGTTTGTTCAAACATTTATTAAGCACTTTTTAACGTGCCAGGCGTGGTGCAAGGCGCTGGGCAGAACAATGATTAAGACGAAGTCCCTCAAGGAGCTCACAGTCTAATGGTAAACTACGGTGTAAACGGAGGCACAGAGTGGTAGATGACTCACAAAATGAGGTAGAAAGAGCCGGGGACTGGGAAACGTGGGGCTGGAACCGGAGAGGGCAGGGGCGAAACGTGTCACCAGGGAGCCCTCTGACGGGGCGTGGAGCTGCACCCAAAACCTGCCCGCCAAGGTGCGAACATCGTCTTCGCACAGTGGACGCGTGTCTCGCAGTGCGCGAAGCCGCGAGGCGGTGGCATTTCCGCACTCGCCCCACGAGGCCCGGGCAGGGCCCTGCCGGTGCAGAGCCGGAGCCGAGGGGGCTGGAGGTGCAGCGGGGGGCCTCGGACGCAGCAACGAAACCCACGAAACACAAATGCACAGCACGTCCAGGACACGGGAAGCCGGAGAGACGCTTCTCTCACCCCGGAGCCCAGCCAGCCAGACACTCGAGAATTCGCCCGTCCCTCTCCACACGTATGTCATCTCGGCTTCACGGGGCGGACGGTCACTCAAACTGTGAGGGGTTCAGACACCTCGCGCCGGTGCCCGCCGCTGGGGCGCGAGGCAGCCTGGAGCGTGTAAGGCAACTTCTACCGTGACGCTGAGGTGCTGCCCGCAGGACAGGCCGGCGGCTGCGAAGCCCCGTCCACTCGGCCCGTGCCGGTCGGCGGCGCCTCGCGGCGAAGGTCCTTCAGCAGGCAAACGTCTCGCTCGCCGACGAGCGCTGGAGTCACAAAAAGGTCGTTTTGAACGCAGCAACCGTAACTACCTAGGAACCTAGTGGGGGGCGGGCCTCCGTGCGCGACTCTGGGACCGCCACAGCCCAGGGCGACGGGCGCGGGGGCGCACTGCAGGGGCCGCTCCACGGAGCGGCGCTCCAGCTCGGCGGTCAGTCGCTCACTTCAAGCAGCTCCTCACTGTGCTGTGCATCTCCTGAAAGTGACAGACAGTCTCCTTAGCGGAGGTGAAAAGGCAGATGGGCAGCAATTCATGAGCTTGAGTCACAAATCCTTGGTCAAGAAACGGCAGATTCTGGGGCAAGAGCTGGGCTCGTGGAGGGGTGCGGGCTTGTGCTTCGCTGGGTCCCGGCGGCCCGTGGGTCGCACGCGCCCGAGAGCCACCCCTCCCCCCACAGCAGCACACGGGGGCCAGCGCGGACCAGCGGCCACTCAGCTGACTGACCTCTGGGGGGGTTAACGTACAGCTGTGAGAATGTTCCCAAGGACAGTGAAAACGACCGTAAGAACTTTTCTTTCAAGTTTTTGTAACTAGGAAAACCGAGAATGTCCGCAAGGTCTTACGCGCTTATAAAGAAAGGGCGTGACCCCCCACAGCCCCGAGTGTCCCCAGCCACAACCGGCCGTTTACCTTCCTCGGGCTGTGCGGTGCGCCGGCTCTCTGGGGCCGCGCTGGCCGCCTTAGTGCCCGGCGGGCCCTGCTCCACCTCGCACAGGTACACGTCGATGGGCCCCTTGGTGCTCCGGATGTGCACCGTGATGGAGTCCTGGACACGGAGACCGGCATGAGAGGCCGGCCCTGCGCCGTCTGCCCTCACACAGACGCGAAGGCCCCGGCGATTTTAGCCGGCGAAATCCCAATCGCCTCCCTCGACCACAGCCCAGAGAACCACGCTCCGCTTCGACACGGTGAACCAGGGCCAATTCGCGTTCAGCTACTTGACCTCTGAAGCTCCGTGCGCGCGCAGGTACGCAGAGGCTCAGCTTTCCCGACTCAGAGCCGACCCCCAGGGGAATCTGTACAGCAGCTTCAAACCCCGAGCGAGCGAGGACAAAGGGACCTAAACCCTTTGTCCTGAGGCTCTGGCGCCCTCGGGTGCTCAGACCCTGCGAAGCGCTGGCTCACGGCGTGGCCCATATCGCATCTTGCAAAGGAAACGTCACAAGAAACCGTGATCCAAGTGGCCGATGAAAAGCCCCGGACCTTACCGCGGCACTCACTGTGTGAGCGCTGACCAAGTTAATGACCCCTCTAATGGCCGGGCCCTCACCTGTGACGGGGCAGCCGCCCCCAGCGCCAACCCCCGGGCAGTGGCCGTGTGCAGGACACCGTCCATTCGGCCACAAAGAGGCCGCGCCCGCAGGAAGCGAGCCTGCCCTCCCGCGCCCCGCCCCAGCGGCCGAGTGCAGGGCGCCTACTTCTCTGGGAGCAGGGACATCCAGTCTGGTCTCCTCCGGAGCCTTCACCGCAATGACGATCTGCTCGTGGAAGGCCTGGATGCTGTGGATGTCCTGGTACGTCACGTACGCCAACGTAAGACGCAGTCAAGGCTCCTACTGGCAGTGGCTGCTCTCTTAGCCCACGGAGGCAAGTCAGGAGCAAGTTATTTCACATGCACTGTATCATAAACCTTTTAAGGTTTTATGAAGTGTCACAACATTTACACCCAAACTGAACTGCTGTGCAGCCAGCATTTCTGGAGAAAGACGTTACCAAGGTCCGAAGCCCAGCCCCTACCAGGAAGGCACTCAGGCCCCTCCGCCGCCTTCCCCCTGAGGGGCACTCCAGCGCCGGTGAGTCCCTACCATCTGTGGAAAGAGGAACTCAAGGACTACGCCGCCCAGTGCCAGCTCCTACCACACTGGTGGAGTTCGCCAGCCGGCGCCTTTCTAGCCCGGCCAAGCGGGCGCCTCGTTGGGCCTTGTCTGCGCTGAGCCAGCTGTCGCGCTGGCCGGGCTCCGGCTTTCCTGTGCAGCACCCGCGAGCAGCACTCTCTTCCCGCGGAACTGCGCAGAGAGCAGCTCTGGCTGAGACAGCTCGGGGCGGTCACCGCACACCGCAGCGGCAGGGGGCAGGCCTGGGAGAGGCCTCCCTGCCGGACAAGACACCGGGCCGCGGGGCGAGTGGACACCCGGCCTAAAGCCCGAGAAGTGCACGTCTCAATGACGATTCTTTGTTTCAGAAATATTTTGGTCTGCAAGTTGGCGCGACAGGCTTCCACCAACGCTGACAGCACCTTACGCCGTACCGCGCTCAGGCTAGGAAAGGCAGGCGCGTGCCGCACTAGCTTGGTTTCATAGGCTGGGGCACCGCGCTCGGAGCCCCTTGTGCACGCCTGGCCCACGCGGCGAGCTCCGCCGATGCCCCGCGCGCGGCCGAACAGCCGCTTTGAGAAGAGGCGGGTGCAACAAGGCGGTCAAAGGATATCGCTCGTTTTCTTTGTCATCTGTCAGCTCAAACAGCTGCTGGGCGCAGTCCTTGATCAGCTCATCCAGAGCGTCCTCCGTGGCCGACAAGGCGGAAAGCTCTTCCTGCAGCTTCTTCTGCTGTGGCACTGCGCCGAAGTTGTTCAGGTCGGAGCCTCTTTTGGAGAAAATGAAAGCACAGGGTCAGCACAAGAGCGCAGCGCGCGTCAGGCACGGTGCTCGTTCTCACCAGTCGCCCCACCGGCGGCCCCCCGGCGTCTCCGCCCCACATTCCCGACCAACGCTTGTCCTCCTGCACACAGCCCGGCTCCCGGCCCCGCTCGCGTCCCCACACACGCTCATGCACACGCGCACACGGCCGGTACAGGTGCAGAGAAAGCTGAACAAAGTGCCCCACCCTGGCCCCTGCGGCACGAGTCACCCCCACCCAGAACAGCCCACGGCAGTGAGCGCCTCTGCTGCAGCGGGGTCTCTTCTCCCTACTGTGCACACGCCAGCTGGTTCTCTCTGACCAGACACCCCTGCGTGCATTACCCGTGAAACGCTTTGAGTCTCCACC